CAGGAACAAACACATTTAAACTTTTCAAAAAGGGATAATTTCACAAACCTCCCTTGAGGTTTTCGGCAATTGCAGAGAGCTCTCCTTAAATTTTAAAAATTATGCCTACCTCTCTTGCTTGTAAGGATTATGTAACAATATAGCTCCAATAGCCTAAATTTTTTCACAAATATTCTAAAATACCGGGTCTGTTTGGAATCTCGAGTTTTTAGCAAATTTGTATAATACTAGTTTTTTAACAACTTTTGCTACAGGAACCCCAAGAACTTATCAAAGTTTTTCACCTACACACTTCAAAATAATACACAAAAAACTTTCCCTTCAACTTTTCTTCTTTTTCCTCCCCCACCGAACCTACCACGTCCTCCGTCGCCAGCCACCACCTCCACCACCACTTTCGGCACCGGTCATTATTCCGGCCGCCAGTGCTGGCCATCCTCTTTTTTTTTTTCTCTCCTGCCCTCTCTCTTTGACCGATCTGTTGGTTTCCAAAACCTCTTTTTTCTTTTTTTTTCCTTTCTCCCTTCCCCATCCCCTCTGCCTCCCCCGCTATCTTCCCTCTCCCGCTAGCTGCGATTTGGTCGCGCGATCAGATCGTAGCTAGGGGAGGAGACGGGGAGTGACAAAGCTAAAAAAAAAAAAATGCAACCCTGCAACAACTCTGGCTTCAGAGGGTGAGGGGGAGGGGAAAGGAGAATGAGAGGGAGAAGAAGGGAAGAGAGAGAAAAAAAATTTCCTATGGCTGCTAGGTGACCAAGGTTGCTGGTTGGAGAAGGAAGAAGGTGGCGAGAATGAGGGAGGAGAGTGGGGAGAAAAAATGAAACAAAAAATCCATGGCTACAGCCTGCAAGTTCTCTGGCATCGGAGGCCGCCAGGGAGGATGAGGAGAGGGAGAAGAGGGGGAGAGAAAAAGATGGGCATAGGGGCAGAGAGGGAGAGGGAGGAGAGGACAGAGGTACCGGGGGAGAGGGAAGGGAGAGATGCCGGGGGAGAGAAAAAGAGGGGCAGAGAGGGAAAGGGAAGAAGGGGCAGAGGTGCCGGGGAAGGGGGAAGGGAGAAGAAGAAAGAGAGAAAATAAAATAAAAAAGAAAGAAAGAAAAAGAAAGATCAAAATTTTTCAACCTAAAATAGTTTTTCAACCTACAAATTTTTCTTACAACTTCTACAGTAATCTACAGTAAAATTTTAGACAAACACCCAAAAAACTCATCTTCCAAACGGGGCCACCATTCTTCTAAAAAACAAGACAAAACAAAAACAAACTTTTAATCTTTAACTTCTTGTATGTGGCATATTCACCAAAGCAAATAGAATCCAGCGACTACAAATCACCTCAAAATTCATTAATTACTATTCTTGCCTAATGTAACTTGTTACAACCACTACTGATATTAAACCAAGAAATACCCCCACATCCCTATGAACATAATTTATCATTACTATAACACTCTTAGATGTAGAGACAAAATTCTATTTTCAGAGTAAAATCACAATCACTAAGTGGAAATAAAAGAGAAAACCAATGAGATTTTTAATTGCTAGATATTTTTACTTAACAAACGTAATAGTCATTTTTTTATCTTCCAACTCTCAATTTTAATTTTTTCTCCCTATATCACTACCATTTTTTTCATCTTTCCCTATTTTGATAATAAAATCTACAATCTGCACTTTGTTAATTTGGTAACTTCAATTGGCTAACATTTGTAAATAGTAAAAATGTTGAAAAAAAAAAAGAATATATCAACAAATTTTTATAGTAAGAAGGAGGTAGGAAGACAAAAAATATATCTAGATAAATTTTGGAGATGGTAAAAAATTGATAGTGGTGTGGTTAATAACAATGGAGTGCAATATTTGATGAGAGGGAGAAGCGGTCGTTGGAGGAAAAGAGAGAAAAGTATGAAAGATGAAGAGAGGAAGAGATGAAAATTAGAAAATAGATGCATTTGAAATTAAAAAATGGCAAGTAAAATAATAAGAAGTATTTTTTAGTTTTAAATTCTCTTTTATAAATTAACTATTAAGTGGAAAACATTTAAGTTATTTGATTGAACCAAATGAGGTATATGTAATTATTGAAACTTCAGGGGAGTTGAGTGGAATTATCAAAAACCTCAATGGAGGTTTTTGAAATTATCCCTTTTAAAAAATTTTCGATTTGGGATTTTAAGAAATGAAATGATATTTTTGCAAAATATCTAAATGCAAGTAGAACAAATAAATATAAATATGTTTATTTATATGATATCGCTTTTAACAAATAAGTGCATTATGGAACTGAAGATTTGGAATGCTCAGGTATATTGATTATTTTAATACTAGCTTGGATCTGGTCGTGCTACACACTGGCCTATCCACTGATAATTTTCGCTGTTTATTTAGTCCTTCATTTTTGTCCTATGCAAAATCCAGATAATTTTGTGGATGTTGATAATATATCTGTGGATTTGATATGCTAATTGTGTTTAAAATACAGAGAGGTAAATAACATTTAAAACAGTGGCAAAGATTATATAAACAAAATCATTCACTTTTGACAGCACATGTGCTTTAAGACTGGATCTTCATACATATTAGCACTTGCAATTAAGTTTCATGATCTATGCAGGTGCAAGATAACAAACTAAACTATTAATAGCTATCTCATGATCCCTTATTTGTCAAGGACTGAAGCAGTTTCAAAGAAAGTATCAAAGCAATGGACCTAATCATTTAGCTAGCTAACAAAAGATTTAATAAAAGTAACATAATTAAAGCAGTTTAGGCCTACTTGCCCTTAAGCTTCTTTGCTGGACTTATCTTCAATATTCTCAGGCAAATTGCTATCTTCTGGACCTTTTTTGGTGCACTGCTCAGAAATATTGGATGGCTCTTTGGATAGTGTTTCTACTGGTGTAGCTTCATTTTCAAGTAGCCCTTTTGGAAAATCAAGGCTCCTATTTACTCCACTGATCCCATATGCATCATTTTTCGTAGAAAAATTGCCTCCAGCAATTTCTTCAAGCACCAACTAAGTGGTTGGTGTGAACTTTTCTTCATTTGTTTGTTGTTGTTTTTTTTTTGATATCTTGGTGAGGAAGTGCCCACTGTAGAAGAAACTTCGGTGCGATCTGGAAATGTTACAGTAACAGATCATCTGCAGTGCAAGCTTTGGATACAATAGTTTTAATTTGTCCCTGGTCTTAAAAGTGAGTCTTATAAGCCTTGAGAAAGTAGACAATTATATATTTCTTCAAGGAACCATTAAGTTCAGTGTCTACTTCAAAGTGCTGCGGCAAAAATTATTTTTTGAGTTGTAGTCAGTTGTTGTTATCTTTTTTGTTATGCATGGATATAAAATAGAAGGTTATCACTTACGCTTTCTTGTGCCAGTTTATGCTGAAGTGAAGTGAATAGAATCATTTTTTTTTTGCACCTTCTCTAGATATAGTGCAATTGATTGTTCCCGAATCATCACTTAAAATGATGGGAATTCGAGCCCTCAAATTCAAGAACAGAAATTAACATCAATTTAAATGCAGAAAGAGGATTAAATTGTAATTAAAGAGCATGAATTGGTAACTTTACCTCATATCAACCTCACTTTGTTGCTTGCAAAAAGGACAACAGATAATCCAATCAATGTTTGCATTAACTATTCCTGTATTTAGCGTATCCAAAGGCAAGTTTCCCAGTTGCTTGAAGCCAAGCTGTTTTTTTCTAAATCAAATAGATATGAAAGATATCTGAAGCAAAAACCACAGTCAACAGTAAAAAAGGCAAGATCATAATCGTACATAAGTTTTTCATCATTTGCTCAATATGACGAAAGAAAGAACCAACATTAAAGGGTTTCTCCTTTCCCTTCTCCCATTTGTATACATCGTAGGTTTTAGAAACCGTACCATAGATCATTAAAAATTGTTTTCTAAAAGAAAACATCACTTCGTAGCAGGAAAAAAGGAAGAATTCACTGGTAAATTCAAACCAAGTACAATCCCTAAAAGAAGCTGATTATTGGGGCAAATGCAATCATGTGCATGTGGAGGGTTTTTGTGGTTCTAACCAAGAGAAAGTACAATGCTTTGTTTAGAAAATTGGTAGAACAGTGGCATCTTTTGCAGGGTCATATTCGGCTATCCGAGCAGAAGAAACGAAGAAAAAGAGACTTTTAGTGAGAGGCCTAAAACTGACCCATATGTTTAGATCAATCGACAAACAGTATCAAACTATTTGCACCGAAACAGAAAAATAAGAAGGAAATATTTTCAAACATACAAAAATAGCCCTAAATAGTTAGTATCTATTCAAACAACCACCTTTCACAAAAGGGCGCGACTAACTTTTAACACTTATTAAAACACAAACAAAGTTAAAAAATAAGTATATTTAATCCATTATTACCAATTGACCCTTAAATAGTAAGCTACTATTGGAATTCTCAATTGTAAGACAAAGTCCCAAATAGACATTTACCATTCTTTAAGATTCAAATGAATAAAACAAAGTTCCTTCCTCCAATAAGAGCTTGACACTTGGCATTCAATGGACAACTCAAGTTGTTCTATTATCTAGTGGGTAGACACATACACATATATGTATACAGGCCACGTTACTTATTTGTTTAGATTGGACCATCAACTTTTCCATGTAACTTAAAACGTAATTTCTTCGCTAGAAATTGAGGAACTTAAACATTTTTGGTACAATCCAAGGGGTACGTAATAATATCTACACACATTTTTTAGTTTCTTTTTTTTTTTTTTGCATGTTTCTAATATGTATTAATATGTAACTACTACACGTATTTACCATATATTGGGGAAAAAAAAATTAAAAGAGCATGCAAATATCATTCCCAACAATGGTATTTAATCTTTCCATTTACCCTCTACATAGATTTGACAAGTACATATCATCACAAATTGAAAAGCTATTTTCCTCCAAAAAAAGTTTATATTTTTCATGAACATATTTTTCAATCATCTTTTTATCTCATATATATCAAATCGTTACAGTACATTTTTTTGACGAAAACTATAGAAAATAGCAATCCAAACAAACTCTTAGCCTTAGAATCATCATCATACCGAGAAAAGGAATTTTAACCGGGTTATTTTTAGGCATTTACTAATACAGCCAATATTCAAATGCAAACCCATTGCATTTCTCGTTTCCTTAGCCTCTCAGTTTTCACACTAAATAAAATGAACACTTGGAACTTCAAAGCATTGATGAGCTAAATAAATCTTGTAAAGCTTCAGCGCTACCAAATATACGCATACGAGCAAAGTGACGGTAGTAATCCACGAAATTCAAAATCAAAGCACAGAAGAGCGGGCATACTCCTTTTGGTGATTTTTCCCATCTCACGAGATAACCAAACTCCGATTCATTAGCCGCCACCAAAAAAAAAAAAAAAAGAACAAAAACATTAATCTCTTTGAAATTGTGTTACAAACGACTGCCTGCTGTAACCAAACACAGAGACAGAGTAGTCTAGTATACAGGTTAATAAGAAGGAGGATGTCGTCTGCCACGGTTTTTGTCCTGCACTCGATGAAACACTTCCAGCTCCTGATTATTATTATTATTTTTTTGCAAAAAATAAAAATAAAAAAAAGGAGAGACGAAAACAAGATCAATTAGCACAATTCGTATCAACTGATCATTAGTCATCAAAACACGCAAATTACAGCATAAACACATGTATTGCTCCTGATTATTGTTTAAAACACTTTTGGCGTTCTATATTTTATTTATTCTTTCAAGTTATAGTGTCATAGTACTTAAACACACAGGCCCGAAATTTAATTTTACTAATATCTAGTAATCTACGGTCCGTAAATAAGTGCGCACTTAAGTAAAGAGTGGTTTTTTTTGGGACACTTAATTGAAAAAAAAAAAAATTCTTAGATTTTAAAATATGCCAAACTACAAGTACAAAATACGAATTTTTTTTTTCCTCTTTGAAATTAACCAGAAACGCGAAAATAGAGAAAGAGATAATTAGTTTAGCACTACTAATGTAACCAATAAATGAAATAAAAATAAAATGTACTAGTACCACATTCTCTGGTAGCATTGACAGCAGCAGAGCAAATGCAGAGCAGCGCTTGAGTCTCCACATCGAAGCCGCAGGTCCCGCCGGATTTGGTACACCGTTCGCAACCGGTATCCGGGACCCCATAAGACAACTTGATCCCATACAGCCAGTCCAACGGCCCAACGCCCTTCAGGTTATCCGTGTTATAGACGCTGGTGTAATGCGTGCAGTCCAGTATGTTCATGCTCATGAACTTGACGGTGCCGTAGCCGGTGAAGCAGCACGGCGGCGGAGTACTGTTGGACAAGAGATGAAAGAGCTTGAAGGAAGTACAGGCCCCGTAAAGTTCGTCGCAGGTATGGCCGGCGAAGTTGAAGCACAGAGACTTGTAGTGGTTGAGGACTGGGGAGTCTATGGAGCAGTTCATGAGAACGAAGACGGTGTCGGACGAGGGGGGGATGAGGGCCGATTGAATGTCCGACAGGACGAAGTCGTGGTGAGGTTGGAGAATGGAGCAAGTGGACATGGCCGGATCGAAGATGACCAGGTTCTTCTTGTCGTAGTCGATGGACTGGACCTTGTAGTTCCCGGATGGGGTGGCGAAGAACAAGTCCGTGGAGGAGCAGTTTAACATGTGACGAAACTCGGGGGAGCCGCATCCGTCGTCAATGCCGAATGGGTAGTTTATAGGGATGCTGTTGCAGTAATTACGGCAGGTACCAGCGGCTCGCTCTACAACCACCGCCGCTGCTAGTAGAATAAACATATTCAGTACGTGGAGGTGGATGCGCTGGTGGAAGTGGGATAATCTCCTAATATGCATTGTTTGGTGGCGTTGATGTTAGTTAATTAGCTTCCTTCTTCAAGCTTTTCTTTTCTTTTGGTAGCTGCTAGCTAGATAGTTGGATAATGGGATGGGAAAACTGAAAAGTGAAAACAGCAGCTAAGTCAACACTCGAAACACTTTTTCTACTGCACTGCAATATTTGCTCGGCTGGCCTGGCCCCAAAAGGTCAGCTGCTTTTTAGGAGATTGCTGATCCTCCCTGATAAAGCACTCTCCCAACCCCCCCAGCCCAGAGTTATACACTAACGGGGGAATTGATGGCTTTGTTGCTACTGCTACTACGGACTGTTTCTAATTAAGCAAAAGTAAATTTTAGGATAGTGATGATCGACAGCACCCCGCAACTTTCTCCATCATGCTGGTGCTTCTTTTTGACTGGTATACAGGGGAAATATAGGCTCCCCGGGTGGTCCACAAGTTGAAAAACAATCCAAACGCAATTTAAAAACAAGGCCCGCATTCACATTTCAGTTTTTTTTTTCCTTAGTCATGTATGATTTCCCTGTTATGGTAACAAAGGATAGGTCAGGATGTGGGCTACCGTTGTTTAAGGCCTTATTAGACGACGGTAGACATGATCACGGTTCCAAAATTTTCGATTCTGACTTTTTTTTTTTTTAAAAAATGAAACCTAAAATGACTCTTACAGGGTTGGTTATGGTTACGGTTTTTTGAATTTTCGATTCTGATTATGATTCCGATTTCTTTGATTACAATTCCGATTCTTTTAATTATGTTTTAAGAGCTTATTGTTATAAAATTGATTCTAAAAAAGCATGACAATGAATGAAAAAATAACAAAAGATTTTTATTGTATTATCATGTGAAAGGAAAAAGAAAATGATGCGGAATTCGTGAAAAAAATATCTCTTTGTTGATTGGGTAAGATTGATATTGAATTTAGATTAGTCGCGGGGCATAAACTTACTAATGTAATGGGATAATGAATTGTTGGATTAAGATTGGAACTGCTGATACTAGATATTAAACTTTAAATTGACCAAATAGGTTTAAATGGCAAATGTTATGGTTTGAACGGATCGTAAACCTATGGTTCCGTTTTAGTTCAAATTTTTGGTGAATTTGGACTTGAACTTGTAGTCACAATTATGGTTTCGATTTCTAATATTTGATTTAACAAATCGTTCGACCGGTTCTAATCCAATTCTGATTGAACCTAAACTTGTAGTCACGATTATGGTTGCGATTTCTAACATCGGATTCAACAAACCGTCAGACTGGTTCTAATCCGAACCACTAGGCCAATGGCTCAAACCTCACTTGCAGCGAAAAAAATCTAAAGGTTGTGTCAGAGCACTCCCTTGGTCTAGTTGGGTCTGTATACCCACTAGCCCCCTACCACAGCCTTTTTAGGCTCCCTCTCTCCCCCTAGATTAGGACAGAATAGGTTATACAAATGTATCGTTGCTAACAAAAAAAAAGAAGGTTCTAATCCGAATCCAATTCAAATGTCAGATCGATTTTAACCTGATTCCGATTCAAACTTGAACAGTAGTTTGGGATGTCAACCTTGTGAGGACTCGCAAATTCCTCGTATTTTTCCTCAAAAATACCCTTTTATTTGAAAATTAGTATTTATCAAAGGCCACTACCCAAATATTTCACACTAAGAGTAAATAGATCTAGAAAGTAGAGTTTTACGCTTCGGTTTCAAGTTTGGAGCAAAATTAGGGTTTTCGCGATTTTCGCCGAATGAATTTTCGGTACAGAGTAAGGATTAATTTTGGGGATTAAAAGTGACTTTTAAGTGAGAAATAATATGTGGCTAGTAGCAATGATATAAGGTTAGTGAATGGGAAGTAAAAATACTAGTACGTGAGTTTTTAAGAAAAACAGCGCGAACCGGCGGGTCCCGCGCATTACCGATTGAACGCACCACTTGACCACCATTTTTCTTATCCAACAAGTTTGTTGACTTTTGTACATAATATCTTCTTAAATTACAGCAAGGTTGACCGAAAATTGTGGCTCAAAGGCAAGGGAAGAAAGAGAAAAATTTTGTGGCCAAGATTAGTCCAAGTGTTTGCCCAATTTGTGGACACCATTAGTCCTAATCCTCTTGCTTTATTATAAGGCAACTAAGCTCCATTTCTCATCATATTTCTGCCAAGGAGCCGAGAGAGAGAGAGGGGAAGAACAAGAGAGAAATTTCTTCATTTCATCTTCAAATCCAACAACTTAGTGAGAAAATAAACAAAGTAAACCGATTAAACTTGTTCTTGAGTGACTAGGTGGTGATTTGTGGTGTGATTTTTGAAAGAGAAAGCTTGGGCTACTTGTAGTGACTTCTATTCAAGGTAAGAGAGCTTATCTCTCTAAGTTTTACTTTCAATTTTGTTAAATTAAGCTTGGCAACTTGCTCTTGTGGTGAGATCATGGATGATGAGCATGTTTTAGAAGTTTTCCCCAATTTATTTGATGAACTAGGGCTTGTGGAAATTCTGCCCAAATTGTTGTAAGATGCTTATATGTTGCAATTGAAGTTTTATAAGGTGTTGTGGTAGTGATTAGACCAAGAAATTAAGGAAAGTTGCACTAGAAACTCAAAATTCCAAAATCTGGAAAATTTTCCCAACATTCTGTCCGAATTTGTATCTGTATGTTAGAGGCTGATTTGGCCTTAGCTCAAAGAATAAAAGTTGTATAGAATGGAATTTTATAGGTGCCTACAAAATTTCAGCTCAATCGGAGCAACGTAGGACGTGAAAAGTCCAAAATACCCTTACTGTTTTAAGTATTTTCCAGCAGTCCGTTTCATCAGTTAAGTCCAGTTTATCACGATTTTTGACCAGGATCCATTCTGATTTAGCTCTGGGCCAAAACATGAAAGTTGTAGTGTTCTGAAGTAGCTTTAAAATGCCTCTAAGAACACCTGATTCGGACTTGTGTACTCTGAGTTATGACCATTACAGTGTTCTGCGTTTAAACAGCCGGCGAATTGATTTCTGGTTTAGTAATTTGAGAATTTGACCAAGTTACATTAGAAACTGGATTAAGTGACCTTCATGAACATTGTAGCCCTAAGTCTTACCTTCGAAACGGCATAGGTTGCGTCTTAATCCGATAAGCGTAGCCTCGGATAAGTTATTTCCGCATTCGTACGTCAAATCTGTCTTGTGCTAAGTTGAATTTCTGCAATTGTTATCATTGTAATTCTTGTTATTATGATATTGTGAGCCTATGGAACGGCTCTTGACATAAATTTCTGATATGTATGATGTTGGGTTGTGTTTGAGAAAAACAAGGAAGCCTAAATGGCTGGAAAATTAGGTAAACACAAAGGGCATGCTGCCCGAATTTTTACTCGAGGGCTAGAATATTATATTTTTGACTTGGGTGAAGGTTAAGTACTTAATACTTGAACTAGCGAGGACTTTGGCTATTATGTTTCTTGAGTGTTAAACGTTAGGACTTGACTAAACTTGTACCCTTGGGAAATGAAATAATGATTGCTCGAAGTACGTTTTCCTTGTACTCTCGACTCACATGACAATTTCAAGTATAAATGTTACAAAGCTTTATCGTTTAAAAAGCGAGCAAGTGTTTCATGACTACTGTCCGAGTGAATTTCAATTTCTTGATTCTTATTGAACGAAACGTCTAAGTTTCGAACTCTAGACATGTTTCAAAGTTCTCAAATTGAGTTTTATCGCAGATTTGGACTCCGAACTCGGAGTATAACCTGAAAGTGACCAGTAAAAGCACTATATCTTTTGGTGAGTGCTTTCAAATACTGAATTGAACTTGATACTTGTACTTGATACGTGCCAATATGATTACATGTCACATGCGTGAATTGTTAGGGCAAGAGTGTACTTTATCGCACTTGCCCTTACATTATATACACTTGTTTATTGTTGCAATTGACTTGACATACTTGTTATGATGCGCGCACTTCCTGGAATTCCAGACACCCTGTGGCGAGTTACTCTAGTCGGGCCGGCAGGGGCTTGGTCGATTGGGTAACGAGCCCTGGGTCTCTTGCTTTGTCGAGTGGAGTGATATCTCCTCGACTAAACGGTATACTCGAGTATTACCACCCGTGTTTATTGAGGATTTTGGGCCCAGTAGGGGGTGTGAATGGTGGACGAAGAGTAGTGTAAGTGGTGTTCTACTGGATTGGTTCCTTTACTTGAAAGTTGACGGAGTGTCAACTACTATGTGATGAAGCTCCTGATGATGAATGGAAGTTTGCTCCTGAGAGCCATCCGTATCCTTATGCTTTGGAATGATTATTGTTTATTGGATTATAGTGTCTTCTGAAAACTTTTACACTCGCTCATTTTGAGATTTCTCACTTTTATGAACTCTTCATGCTCGTTACTTTGCTATATCGAAAACTTGTACTTATAAATAATGGTCAATTTGCTATTTGGAACCTCACTGGGCTTTTAGCTCATACCACGCTATTTGTTTTCCTTACAGGGGGTACGAGTGACGCATGAGACTTGTAAAAGACTAGCGTAACCTTTTGTTTTGACTTTTGACTTTTGGTCTTGTACTCGCGCTATTCCTCGAATGGAACATGTTGTACTTGGATTGTATACGTTTTGAACTAGTTTGGTGTATTGAGACTTTGTACCTCGATTTCTATCAATGTAAATTATAAGCTTGAATTGTGAATGTTATTTATGATTTATGGATGTGTGTACATGACTCGATTGAGATAGTGAGTGAGTCCTGGCGAGAGCTGGGCAGGCGGTCCGCCGAACCCTTTGGTACGCCTTAGGGGGAGGTGGGGTCGTCACAAACCTTAATGGGTCTTGAACATTATGAGCATTGTCCAGCCACCAACAAATGTTTTTTACTATATATATCTATATATACTGAAAATGCTGGGGTGCATAATCTTGGAGGAATTGAATAATGTGGATCAACAGCTAGGGGTGCATATATATATATGTATTAAAAAGAAGGCCCGCATTCACATTTCATTTTTTTTTTTCTTAATTAAGTATGATTTCCTTGTTATGGTAACCAGTTCTAATCTGATTCCGATTGAAGCTGAACTTGTAGTTAGAATTTTGGTTCCGATTTCTAATACCGATTCAACAAACCATCAGAAAATGCTGGGTGCATAATCGTACAATTGGCTCATAAATCAGGAACCCTCTCCTCTCCCCTCTGTCTCAGGTCTCTTTTCTCTTTTTGAAAAGACAAAATATTCATTAAGCACTGGTCGATTTATTATTATGACGGCTTTGAACACGGAAACATCATTGTAAAAGAAGCGGTCCGAAGGAAGTAAAAAGAGGTTAAGTACCCGCAGCTCGCAGAAACGGTAGACGACACAGTAGTAAAAAAGATGGTTGATTACTATATATCAACGCGGCCGCCTTGATTACAAACTCGAGAGAGTGTGTGCCCGTCGCCCACTTTAATTTGAATTAGGAAGGAGGCAAATCAAATCGGGAATCGGAACATAAAATTAATCAATAGTTCTAAAGCAGCTAGCACTTATATATGATAAAAGATAGAATAGCAGTAGTAATTCAGCAGACGAATAGATACAACACTTTTTTTGTTTTTTGGTAAAACCTCCTAGTACCGGACAAGTTAAATAATACTATAGTAATAGGAGGAACAACCATATAATATGCATGGATGGATGGTCCGTCCGGTTACACATCGGTGAATCGCAGGTAGCCCTTGTTGGATGGAAGATCAGCAGTCTGGTATCCCTGCGGAAACATTTGCTTAGCTTCATCATCGGACACGCTGGGGCAGATGGCCACAGGATCTCCCGGTTTCCAATTAGCAGGAGTTGCAATCTTGTGCGCGGATGCCTTGCGCAAGGACTCCAACACCCTCACCACTTCGTCCATGTTACGCCCAGTGCTTGCCGGGTACAGAAAGCTCAACTTAATCTACACATGATGATATGCATAAAACCGCCAGCGGGCAATATTAGTACGTGCTATATGTTTATTTCCAGAGTTGAGACCTTACATATACATATACAATGCATATACATATAAGAATCAATTACAGCTCACTGGCTAGTTGCTTTAACAATTAAGATACTATATATGACTTGTGTACGCACGTACCTTCTTGTCAGGGCCTACAATATGCAGAGCACGGGATGGGAGGTGGTAGCCGGACGAGTCTTTCTCATCAGGGTCGACCATGTTGAGTTGCTTGATGATCTCCTTGTTCGGATCAGCAACAATAGGATATGTGACCTTGTGACCATTCTGAGCAAATTAAGCACATTGTGTATAGTATAGTAGTGTAAACTACAAAAGTAGATACTCCACAATAGCAGGTAAGGCGCTAGTAAGTAAAGTAGATACTCTACTCCACAACGGCTAGCTAGAATGGGCAGGCCGGGAGGGGTGATTTTATAATTTTTGTATTATGAACGAGAAGAATTAAATCAAGATAGGTTGCTACGTACGTTATAGGCTTCAATGTCCTTGACCCATTCCTGGTGGGACTGGACATCATCGCCAGACAGACCCAAAAGCTTCACTCCCATCTTCTCAAACTTGTCAGCATACACAGCCATCATACCAAGTTCAGTGGTGCACACCGGCGTGAAATCAGCTGCATAAAGAACATTTCATTTACACACACAGAACGTATATGCATGATGAACGCTAGCTATATATATATATATTTTTTGTCGCAATGATAATATTTATATAATCTATTCTAATCTAATTTAGTTTAAGGAGAGAGAAAGCCGAAGAGATTTTTCTATCAGAAAAAACCACAATTAAGTGGTTAGACGCCCTTGCCTCCTACTCTCATCAAGACTTAAATCTTTTGGTGGTACCCTCGTCACTAGCTATATAAACTTGATAAAAATTAGCGCATGATTGTTATATGTGTGGAAGAAATTAAATAGTATATTCCATCATGCATGCATGCTAATTAATGAAGAATAAGGTGGTGATTACGTTCGTACCCGGGTGAGAGAAAATAATGGTATAGGAATCATCAACGTAGTCGTGGAGTTTGATCCTTCCGTGGGTGGTTTCAACTTCAAGGTTGGGGATGGCGTCTCCAATGGTGAGCCCTGGCATTTTTAAGCAGTAGTAATTAAATTCCAGACGCACTGAACCGAAGCACGTATCAGCCAAAGAGATAAAAGCTGCAAATCTGGCCTACAAAGTTGGGTCTAGAATGAATGCTTCAGGGAAACATGAGTACCGATCGATGAAGGAATGGAAACTAAATGGCTTGGGAGGAGGAGGAGGGGGTTGCATGACGCGGAGAGGGAGACGTCGGCGGCGGTCGTGACTTTGCATGCATGCCAAATTGCTATAAAAAAGCGCCCTGTGGATGGATTCTGTTGCCTCCACGTGTGATGCAACTGACATCTGTCGCCTTTGGCTGTCATCATTATGATGAAATTGAATTGATGATGATGTTCGTTTGTATTTGGGAAAATCCCCAAAAAAAAAAAAAAAAAGAAATAAAATGGAGTTAGCTAGTTTGAAGAAACGAATGCTAAGAAATTACTAGTACAGACTAAGAGGAGGAAGAAGTTTTTCAGTCTAATCTCTTGATCTTTTCTTGTCTTTTTCTTTTTTTGAAGTAAAGTTTTGCGCTCTTAGTCTCAGCACCGCGTTTTGAATACACCAATGACACAAAAGTTGGGAAACAAATTTAAAGTTAATAAGATGCTAGTATCCATGTGGCACAGCCACTAGGCGCATTAACGTGTATGACAACCTGCCTTAAAACAACCTTTTTGAGTGCCAAAATCCACATTTGCTTTACTCTCAAATCAACCCTTTTTCACTTTTGGGAAATGTTGTGATTCTCAAGAATACTTGGGTTGGCACATGTTATCTGTCAATTCACCAATTGTTGGACCAAAAAAACACCATGAGTGGGGATGTAGCTCAAATGGTAAAGCGCTCGCTTTGCATGCGAGAGGCACGGGGTTCGATCCCCCGCATCTCCAGTACCTTTCTTTCGTTTTTGCTGTTTACCGGCACTAGAAAACTAGCTATCCAACGTTTGCAAGTCTAACGGCTTTCCCGCGCAGCACCTCTCCGCCAAAGCCCCATTTGCCAATATCCATTTCCAGCTTAGGCTTCAGCTGCCGCAACTCCGCCGCCATGGAAACTCATCAAATCGCTCAGCTCCTCCATCAGACACTCGGTCAGGACGCCAGCACCGTCCATGCTGCCACTGACGCTCTGGATGCCCTCTCCACTTCTCTTCCCGACTTCCCCTTCTGCCTAGTCTCCATCAACACCACCACCACAACCGCCACCGGTATAGCAGTTTCTTCAAGCATTTCAACACTGCACTCTTCCACGCTACTTTTACGTGCCCAGTACTATTTGTGATTACTGTATACCTGTAGTAGGAGTTACAGGTATTTATGGTGACTTCCAGGAGGCGAAAACCAAGGTCTAAAGTTAGCTGCAGCTACTTATCTCAAGAACTTCGTCCAACGAAATTGCGACACCAATCATTCTCCAAACTCAACAGCTAGTACAGAATTCAAAGATGCCCTCATGCGTGCTCTGCTTCAAGCAGAGCCGCCGGTTCTCAAGCTCTTGATCCAAGCAGTATGTTCCCAAGAATATTCCTAGCTAGTGATACTGGTAGTATTTTTCGTGTTTGCCTTTCTCCCTGGTCATCCAATTCTAAATTTGCTGTTTTGTCGTATACCCTTTTACTTTATTTTTTTTATCCTTTTTCTTCCCCAGTTTCGACCCATTGTTGCTGTTGAGTTTGTCAAGAATGATTCCTGGCCTCAACTTGTCCCTGAGCTGCGAGAAGTAATACAGGACAGTGATTTGGTTACCAGAAATGCGGGTTCCCAGTGGAAGACTGTTAATGCGCTCACTGTTTTCCATTCAATCATTAGACCGTTCCAGGTACTCAATTAATTCATAGCCACCATTTCTTTTTTCTCGATTTACCTGAATTTCATACTATGATGTAAAACTATTTATCAAAGTTCTCACCAGTACTCGTCAAATTATGACCAGGGTAGTGAGGGTTCTAGTTCTGATTTCCAGCACATTCACAGGCTATTTGCATGGAAGCACAGTTCACCTTTCATACTTTTCCCTATCTGCATTGCATTTTGTCTCTTCACCTATTTCTCTTTGACAGATGGGGAGGCAACTCAGCAATTATCTTACAACCAACACTTTTACCTCCTAGCAGTTCAAATTCTCAACTATAACTGAAAAGGCTCCCAGTGTTATTAATTAGGCAACTTTTGTGAGTTTGTGAGGCTATTAAGCTCTCAAATTAACCGCTGCTTATGTTGTGGCCCGTCTTTATACATAATCAAACCTAAAAATGTGGGTAGTGATCACCATTTGGATATATTTAGCCAAGCATTCTTAATCATGGACTCGAGAAAACAATATATGATCTTTGAATTGTATGTTTTTGAGATATCGTACTCCAAAATGTTGGGATGCTTTTATTTTGATAACGTTTCATGACTTCTTTTATCCTCCTTTTTTTTAAATTTTAACTTTTCAGTACTTTCTCAATCCAAAACTTCCAAAGGAACCAGTTCCACCACAGTTAGAACTAATTGCTCAGGAGATTCTGGTACCTTTACTGGCTCTATTTCATCAACTGGTTGAAAAGGTCGGATTTACTTCTTGTTCCTCCTCTGCTTTCACAGTTAAATGAATCTCTGGCAGTATTTTTGTTCAAGTTTACTGATGATGGTGTCGAAAACCTTGCAGGAAACCAACGTATTAACTTAACAAGCAACATGGGATCTAGAGTCCGAGAAGATTCTTCTCATTGTAACCAAGTCCATTCATTTTGCAGTGAGTACGGGTTTAAAACAAAATTTCTAATTGAAACACTTTCTGGTGTATGCATTACAGTTCTATAAGTCCATTTATTTTGCAGTGACTACGAGTTTAAAACAAAATTTTTAGTTGAAACACTTTCGGGTGTATGCATTACAGTTCTATGTTGCTTTTGAGTTGGTTGGTTGTGTAATCCAAATTATTATGCGTACTCTTGAAACATTATAAAAACCAAACCCCATTTTGGAGACACTTATGGTGAATTAATTTGTATTATAATGATTAGAGCACATCAATGATCTGCTTGCTCATGTCTGTTCCTTTCTAGGTCCAGCATACCTGGTTTGTAGCCAATCATTCCGTTGTTTTTTTCAATATTATCTTTTAAAAGAGGTCTAAACAGTATATACATGCATTTTTCTTTTTCACTTCCATCAGCACTGTGGTTCAAACTGATTATTGCATTAAACGTCTTGTAGGTCAGATCACATTTGCCTTCTGCTTTGGCTTCTGCAATTCCTTTTCTTTGTACGGACCTACTTGCCATTCTCAATTGTTTGAGCTTTGATGTTGGACAAAGCTGCATGGACAGGCACTTTTTAAGGCTAAAGACAGTGAAGAGAAGTTTGATCATCTTCTGTGTATTGGTCACTCGACATCGGAAGTTCTCCGACAAGTAATGAAACAAGAATTAGTTCATTTTGATAAATACAAGAAAACATTGCCTCTTCATTTGTCTTTTGCACTTGCAGACTGATTCCAGATATCATTCAGTCCTAAAAATAGTCAAGCATGGTGCTGTTATTAGTGTGAGTGCCAAGCTCTTATTTGATACTATTGTAAAGTTAAAAAT